CCCGCCTGGGGAGAGCAGGCCCTCTGGGCACCCGAGCAGGGGCGGCCCCTGTGCACACCGTTCCCAGCACAGCCCGTGCCATCAGGGAAGACGGGGCTGTGCACCTCCTGAGCGGGGACGCCCCCCCTCGGTGCCGGCGACTGTGCCAACCCCCCCGGCGTCACTCAGGCCACACTCACTCGCACACCACACGTGATTTCTATGAGCAAATCCATTTGAACAACAAAACAGCAGAGAGGAGCACCAGCGAGAACACTTAGGCGTCCATACGCCCGGAGAGGCCCGGAGGGCGCCATCCAACCTTCCCCAGCGCCCAGCCCACTCCGCTGCCGGAGCCCAGGAGGACGTGCAGAGCAGCCAGCCCTCACCCAGCGTGAAAGGGTGCGGCCCCTTCAGGACACACCTCACAGCTAGTGTCTGCGTGACCCCGCAATTCCACGCCTCCGTGTACCCCAGGGAAGTGAAGACCCTCCAGGCAAACACTGCACAGGAATGCGGGGCAGCTCTGAACACTCAACAGCCAAAATGTGGAAGCCACCCAGCGCCCGGCGGCTGAGGAATGGATAAATCGTACAGATCCGTAAGATGTTACCCGGCAACAGGAAGGAACGAAGTACTAATACATGCTACCACACGTATGCACCTTGAAAACATGCTAAGTGAAAGAAGCCAGTCGCAAAAGACCACGCATGGTATGATTCCATTTCTACGAAGTTTCCAGAATAGGCCAAGCTATAGAGACACACAGTAGATGGCTGGCTGCCCGGGCGGAGGGGGGGGGGGGGGGCTGCTTCGTGGAGAAGTGAAACGCCCTATGGCTGCCTGTGGTGAGGGCTGCGCAACCTGTGGAAAGACTAAACCATGCGGGTGGGAAGTGCATGTGTGGGCAGAGCTGTTACTAAAGGAGAGGAGAGCAGGCGTCGGCTGGGGACGGGCCCAGGAAAAGCCACCGGGTGAAGCAGAGGAGCCGCCCGGCTGCTCCCGGAACAAGGCCAAGAACAAACACAAAACGGGAAGAGGATGAATGGGTGGCAGGTTCTAGGATCGGCTCCAAACTCGGGAGATAAGAAGGGGGCCCACGGCATCTAGGAAAACCAGCAGCCACTTCAAAGGGAAAACACGGAGCTGCTCTGAGCCGGTCCGTCCGGAGGACACGCTGGCCCCCGGCCTCCCTCTGGGGAGGAGAGGA